AAGTTAATTCACTAGGCTCCCACTAAACTATTTTTGCTTCATTGCTTTTTCTTCTTCGTCGTCTGTACAAAATGTTCTTCATTCTATTGTTCATTCATTCTTTCAGCAATCTGCTTCATTTATTGTCATTTTGATTTAAGTTACATTGGAGAAAGAAGATGTTAAAATTGATTTAAATACGCTTTTATTAAGGTGCACGAATTTTTAAACCCCAGATTTTTGAAATGAACCAATTCAAGATACTACCAAAACCAAATCGGCCAAATCAAAGTCAATTTTCTCAGTCAAATCTCAATACTCGTAGCTAAAACATTTTCCACGTAGACATCTCGACATTCTCTATCGAAAGACACCGATCTCTCTGTTATCTAGCGAAAATTAAAAATTTGATGAATTTTACAAAGTTTGATAGCTTCTTTTCCCTAACTTCGTATGTATCTGGATACTCAAAACTGAACAGTATAGTTTTTGTGGTTACGAGGCTAAAAGCCAAAAAGCCTCTTCTATCTCGATCATTGTCTAGGTAAGGTGCACGCAAAGCAAAATTCTAGCAAAATTTTTTTTTCGATAAAAGACATATATTCGGATTTGCCAGACATTGCTGACCACGAATATGACCTTGAAAGTTGAAAAAAACCTTTTTTTCAACTCATTTAGGGTAAGTAACCAATCTATATTCAAAAGATAGCGCACGTCGAGTATGATCGAATACAAGTATGTTTAAATCTTGAAATTGCGCACAAATGACATTTAAGTCAAATCACTACTGGAGTGAAATGCAACTTTTTGTAGAACTGATGTTGGTAATATAGTCATTTTTCTGTCATGATGAAAAATTAAACATTTTTCAAAAACATACCATCAGATAACCCTTGAAATTCTCTACAAAGTGAGCTAGTCAAAATATACAGACAGGGCCAGTCGTTAAAGATACGTATAAGAAGCGATTGCGTGTTATTTATGCAATACACTATGGCATGAGCATAAGACCTGCTTTGTTTTTTATTTTTCAGTAAAGTTGGAACAAATCTTAATACTGTTTCGAATAGCTCGAAAATTTGTCTAACAGATGAGGTGCGTATCGCCGTTTCATGACAAAAGTTGATGATAGGGTTTCTGGAAAATCTGAAGGCTAGAAAACCAAGTCCGTGGTATTTGGTCAGAAAATTTTTCGAACCATATAGGCCGATAGGACTAAGAATTCTGAGGAAAAAAAAATATCTTCCAGCTGTCTATAACACTTTCTCAGCCAACTGCAGTCGATTTACGAATGGATACAAACGGTGTGAAAATCACCAAAACTTCCGGGAAAAAAGCGGGAGATATGGTATCAAATGCACAATATTTCTAATAAACGACAAATTTTGATTTGTAATGTTGCCGCATTCGGAGGGATTATGCTCTCTCAAAATGAAAAATCACGTTGATTTGTCTGACAAGACTAAAAGCTGTCAGATAAAGATTTTGATGAACTATCCCACCCCTAATCGTAGGCTTCTGCAAGTTTAGTTAAATGATAAAAGAATGTTGCAAAGGCCTGAATGCTAACAAGAGAAAGCATCCCAACCAGTTGTTCGAGGGGTACTTCGAGTGTTCAGAAACATGTTTTCGATGGACCTCCGTCGAGGGCTCGAGCCCTCGGAAAATGGCACTTCGGACCCTCGATATAAGCTTTCGAGAGGTATTTCCGAGTCCTCGTCGGATTCCGAGGACTTCCGCATCTGCGAGAGAATGAGGGCTGGGAAGTCCCGAAAATCTTTATTCGACGGCTTGATATTTTTCTCGAGGCACGCTACCTATCTGAAATCTGAGGGCTCGAAATCGATACCCCATGAAAGCTTATATCGAAGGTTCAATGTACCATTTTCAGAGAGGTCGAGCCCTCGGCGAGAGCCTCTTTTCGATTGCTCACGGCACCCCTTGAACGACCTTTTTCATTTGCATGCGACACCCGTAAATAGGAAAGGTATCACGTGAATATACTTAGGTAATACCGAAAGTATCGAGATTTGCAGATAAAACCCTACAGAATAGGGTTAATCAAGTTTTTACTCTAGCGAGTATTTGAGCTAGTAGCTATGACTAGCCCCGCACAATCAGTTTATTTCAAAGCCTTTGTTGGAAGTAATTTTTGAATCATCTTTGATTAAAAAATTCACCATCTTGATTACAGCACTCAAGGCAGTGATTAAGGGGCGTTTGATTGATTAAGTTTATCAATTAGATATAACAGGTGAAAATTATGTATTGGAGATCAGGTAGAATTAGGTGAGTGTAAAATAATTGTGATACGTTATGATGCGAGATAGTAAAAACATAGTTATGAACATATGGTTGCACATAATGACCTTGCATACCCTGAGCTCTAGCCGACAGAGAGCAAATCGGGTCTTAGGTGGAGACCCGAACCCGACACGATCCGAAGTAGTACGAAATTTTCGAAACTTGACCCGAATGACCCGAAAATTTGCTCAGGTGACCTAATAAATTCTTCTGGAAAAAGAGCAGAAGCCTATAGCTTTTGTAATAGCCCAGAACGTTTCTCTGATTTTGTCCAAGGGGTAGTTCATTCGAATTGTGATAACCCGAAACAGAAAATCTTTCTCGATCGTATATTGTCAAAGTTTAATCATCATAATGCGACGCATATTTAAGGCGTTCGTTTTTCTGGACTTACGTTTCCTTTTCTCTTTTCTTTCTTTGCTTCAACAGTGTGATACTGTACAATGTATAGTGTACATTACACAGCGTCAAAGCAGGAAGGAAAAACACTGTACTTCTTTTCCCGATAAAAGAGGTATATGTTAAAAAATCGATGACTGAATCGTAACTGAAGAAAATTTCCTGATTTATTTTCAAATGGCAAGACCCGAATAAAATCCGAAAAGCTTTTTTCCTGTGACCCGACCCGAATCAACATTTTTTACTTCAACCTGAACCTGATCCGACCCGAACCAATATTCTTTATGTTGATCCGAACTGATCCGACCTTCGGTCTTTGCCTTCTCATTTCTTTGAAAACTCGTCATAGGCGATTTTTGATATGATATTAGTGATTAACAGTCTGCCTTCTTTCCAGATATGTCTTTGGTTCAAGAGTATTTGACCGCTTGTTTTTAGAAAAGGCACGAAACATCGTTTTGAGGTTATTACTGCGTCCAACGGTAGCATTGTAGATTCTTAGCTTATAGTCCTTCTGCTTCGAGGAATTTCAGTTTATTTATGTGTGACAAATCTAGTACTTGTCAACTACTACCGCTCCATGTATTCGCCACATTTCTTTAGTCTGCCATGTCCAACAAACCTTGATCAATCAGCTCCTAATCACTGCCTTGAGTGCTGTAATCAAGATGGTGAATTTTTTAATCAAAGATGATTCAAAAATTACTTCCAACAAAGGCTTTGAAATAAACTGATTGTGCGGGGCTAGTCATAGCTACTAGCTCAAATACTCGCTAGAGTAAAAACTTGATTAACTCTACTCTGTAGGGTTTTTTCTGTGAATCTCGACACTTTTCGTTTAACTTAAGTAAATAATCGTATTGTCACAAGATCGAGCGGAATGAAACTGTTTAGATAGGTCAATCATCAGTTATAATTACGGAAACAATATTTTACCTCGAGGAACTGTACTGTGGATGATGAAAAAAGACAAAATTAGAGAAGTGAGGCAATTAAGAGAATAACAAACACTAAAAATCCACTCGGATAAATCCTGTTATATTTGCACTAATGACACCGGTTAAATCTGATGGTACATCCCAATCATTGAAAATCAGTATGTTGTCTGGCTAGTATTTGAAGAGGAGAACTTTGGCTATCTCCATATGTAAAAAGTATCAAATTTGAGAATGAAAAATGACTTTTACTTATGAAGTTGTGAAACATAATTTTCACAGTGGCTAGAATATGAGCAATCGGAACTAATCTTGACTGAGAATCGAACCACGAACATCGGTATCAAGACAAATGGTCTACCTTTGAGCTATCGAAACCAATCTCTGATATATTTTCTGCAATTGAATATCCGAGGTAAATTGCAGTACATACCACTGTTATTTAAAATTTTGCGACTATGAGAAACCGGATCTCTCAGGATCCACCCAGAGCTTTCGCGTCAAGCGATTTTGATACGTCCACATAGTACATCAAGTCCTCAATATTTTTCTGTAGTAACCTTAAAACCAGAAATCTCACATTACACCACTAACCGAACCTGTTTGAGTAGACAGGGCGCTCAGTGTACTTTTGGCATAACAATATAAATAAGACCCTTAACACGTCCATGCTATAAATAACACCACTAATATAAATTGTAGTCTAAGGAATGATTTATTTCAAAACAATAAGAAATTATTCCATTCCCTCCGAAAAAATCCTCAAAACTCTTTCTTCCTATTTTGTTCCGGCACGACCACCTAGCAAAAAGTTGACACAAAAATACCCATTACTGTTGCACATAAATAGTTTGTAACCAAAAAATATTGAAAAAGCGCTTTCATTGCACAGAGAAAGTCATTAATTCATATCCTTTTCTTTATTTTGGTCGTGTTCGCTATTAGCACCATCTATTGTATAATATAGTTCAGCATAATTATTAGATAATAAGTTTCTCAAATGTTGACCATAAGTATGTGGTTCATAGTTAGGCTTTTTGTCAGCAGGACACCAATGTGTTCCCAAGTCGCGAGTATCAATAACTAAATCCAACTGTGGATCCCAGAAAAAAACAATAGAATAACGATCACGCCCAGAGCGATTAATAACACGATGAGGAGTCGCTCGCAGACAATCGTTTGTCCACTTAGAAGCAGTATCACCAAGATTAATCAGAAAAGCGGATTCACCATTTGATGTGATCATATTTGGAGCTGGAATCCATTCGCCACTTGGTGTTTTGACTTCTAAACCACCAATATCATCCTGAGATAAAATAGTAATAAAACCATGATCGCAATGTGGTGCACTACCAAATACACCTTCAGGCACCGGTGAAGGTTGCGGTGGATAATGCAGCATACGTAGACCAATTGATGGTCGTTGAAAGTGTGAGGCAAATCGATTAAAATCAGTTTTACTTGCCGCGAAGAAGACTTTGGATAATTCCAGAGCCAATTTTTTTAATTCATGATAATAGGCCAATACAGCTTCACGAAAATCCGGCATACCATGAGGCCATTGATTAGGACCTTGTAAATATCGATTGAATAATTCTTCTTCTTTTAGATCAGGAGGTCCTTCAAAATGTTCATGATTAATAATAAACGATTCACTTTGGTTAGGAGCTTTAACGATAGCTTTTGTGTTCTCCACCAATACACCTTTAGATTTTGATTCTGATTTGACTTGATATGATGCTAATGGAAGATAACCTCTATGCCATTGATTTAGACGAATTTTATTCTTTTCTTCTAATGGCAAAGCATGGAAACAACGATGTTGGGCAAAGACTCGCTCAATGACTGACTGTGGCACATGATGGTTGGTAATATAAGCAAAACCCATCTCTTGGAATGCGCATGTAAACATTTGCGCAACTTCTGACAGACCATCTGCAGGCGAATCCCACAGAACACTGAGATCAATCACTGGAATTGCCATTTGGACACCTAAATATGGTAAAACAGAATATATACAAAGTTGCAGTTGAATAGAGAATACGGAAGAGACAACAAAACTTTCCTGTCTTTCTTCTATAGAGTTATGTAACCTTGTCGCTCAGCGAATGTTTTGCTTATAAAATCTAAATCAATTGACAGGTTTTTGTTTCTTAAGAAGTTCTTAAATCCATTAGTCGGTTTTCCAAAATTTCGTTGACGTAAAGTCTTTGGCACGTTTGATTTACATACGCATCGATATATTTTATCTTATTTCTCAATCAGGCTGATTATAAGGTATCACCTACAAAAGATTTTTTATGGCTCAGTTTTATGAATCAAACAGTTTTCTACAAGACGAGGTATGGTAGAAATCTTCATCGTTAATCTGTCTGCCTCAAACGCTTCTCAACTATGCACGCAACGGTAACGATAATTTATCGGTTAGCGTTATCGTTTTATCGTATCCTGCCGATTATTGCTTCTTACCTATTACTCCCTCGACTCTGACATTCCAAATCGCTTCCTTAACGAATTTACTAGCTACTGAACAGCTATTGGCTGATTTTTTAAGATCCTGAAGGAAAACATTTCATGAATTCCTATTCTTGTTTTAAAGTGTGCATAATATTTGAAAGTTACTGTCAAAAGCTCAGTGCATCGAGAAGCACAAAGGTTTCGATAAAAATGTCTTTTATTGTAACCACAGAAACAGACCACAGTAATGGCGGCTGCTCTGGACATGCAAAAGCAATATTTATTTTTATGTCCATCGTTTATGGGTGGCCATAATGGGCTAATGAGAGACTCACCATGGATTCATGAACACATTGAGGCAGAAAAAGATTTTTTAAAGAAATACAATCAGCAGGATGAAAGTTTCATTAAGACATTACATAGTTAGAAGCCTCGGCTCATCGAGTTTACTGAAAATTTGATGATCGCCACCTTCTACATTAGCTAGTAAACCTATCGGGTAAAAAGTGGAGATCATCGACTATATAATCGTTATCGTACTTATCGGTACTAACCGATAAGACTAATAAAACCGTTTCTGACTCGTGCATAAAAATAGCCCTTTTCACCACGAAGGAAGCATTATTTAAGGGAACACCCCTCATTTTCGGCTTTCCGTAGAAATGCTGTGAAATAAAAACTAAAACTTAGGCTTCATATTTTCAGAACTGATTGGAAACTCAATGGAGCACTTTCGTTTTTGTTTCAAGTTTTTAACTATTGCCGTTCACCAGTTTTCCAGAAAACTCGGTTTTTCATTGAACCACATTACCACCCCCCTTAAATTTCATCCGATCAAGTTCAAAATTTTACCACAGGTACTCAAGGTCACTGCGCAAAAGCAAATCTTTTGAATTTTCTTGTAGACCTTTCTTTATCGAGTTATAGGAAAAATACTGAAAAACTTTCAAAAACCAAGTTTTTAAATTTTAGAAACCCTGTAACTCGGTAAAGAAAGGTCTAAAAGAAAATTCAAAAGATTTACTGTTACGCCGTGACCTTGAGTACCTGTGGTAAAATTTTGAACTTGATCGGATGAAATTTAAGGGGGGTGGTAATGTGGTTCAATGAAAAACCG